ACGTGCCTCACTACTCACACAACCGACTGATAAGCACTCCACTGCACACACGACTCACACACACATACTGCAGCACTCAGCACACAGTGCTCACACACACTCCTACCCCACTTACCAATGCTTACACACAGCCTACTACACACACACGAAACCCCCTGCACACACACCCCGCTACTCACATATACACATGAACACAGCCCACTGCACCCATAGGCCTCACATACCCATGCACACTCACCCACACACTATATGCACTCCCCACCACTCACACACACCCCACTACACACAGACCTCACTATGCACACAGTCTACACCCCTTCTACATATATGTACATACACTGCATATATGCAACCCACTTCACATATATGCACCTCTACACACAGACACATACACTTTCACTCCACTAGTCATACCCCCATATCCACACACACTCATCTGTCCCATTACACACATGCACACGGACCCATAAACTCATACACACAAGTTTTACCCCTCCTTTTCTAAAATGTTGCTGACAGTGCTCTCCCCACCCCTGAGCCTCATATCCAGGACTGTCCTTCCTACCTGTCCAAATTTCATTTGTAACCATTCCCTACTGAGATCCCTTTCTTCAGCCAGGATGATCACCTTCCTTCTTCGGAGACTGTGAACTCCTCCTGATTGCCTGGCACTCAGAAGGGGTCCAATAACTTTGTGTTGAACTGAATTCTCTCTGTAAATGCTCTCTCCTTTCTTTGCCCCAATCAAATATTTACATCCTTCAAGGGGACTTCCCTGGCAGTCCAGTGGTTAAGACTCCATGCTTCCGATGCAGCGGGTGAGGGTTCGATCCTTGGTCAGGGAACTAAGATCCCACATGCTGCGCAGCACGGCCAAATATTTTACATCCTTCAATACCCAGCTCACATCCTCAATGAAGCCACCGCACGGTAGCTCCCTTATTTTATATTCTGTTAGGAAGTGCTCATCTGGGAATTCCCTGGTGGTTAGGATGCTCCGCTTTCACTGCTGAGGGCCCAGGTTCAATCCCTGGTCGGGGAACTAAGATCCCGCAAGCTGCTCGGCCAAAAATATAAAAAACAAAGGAAGTGTTCATCGTGCACTATACTCCTTCTTCCTTAGGTACCAGGATATTAAAATGGAAACTGTGATCTAAGTCAGTAGATATTAGACACCACAGTGAGTGTGAGACTCCCTGAAGAGTTTTCAAGGTAATTAGTCAAGAACTTGTTTCCTGACTTTTGAGCTCCCTCACCCATTTCACAAACTAAGAGTTGAGAAAGTAGAGATGGAGGTGGAAGGGAATTTATGGGGTTTCTTTGGAGAGAGCTACTGCAGCCCGTCCCATCACCTTGGGGAGTGGCAGAGGAACTATCTCCTTGACCTCAAACTTAAAGAGTGGGATCCAACGATAAAACTCAGAGAGACAGGTTGACATGCACTTGCTGCAGAAAGCATGCAAGTTCAAGGGTCCTAGCAGGGTAGTCAGCACAGTGGAGGGATGTGGGTGGGAGTATAACTCCACTCTCATTAATGGTGGGGCAAGGACATGGGAAAGAGGCTGATCTGGACCCACGTACAGTCCTTCTCATCCCAGGAGGGCTGCCTGGGAGAGGAAGGGGATCCCACTGGTGAGAGTCACTGGTGAAAAGGCCTGCCAGATAACCAGGGCCAGGGGGGCAGCCCGCTGGAGAAGGGGCCCAGGAGCAGCAGTTGCAGGAGCCCAGCGGGGGCCTCCAGAGGCCCTGGCAGTGCCCACAAGGTAGTCACTTGAGAAAATCTGTTGGGCCTGCAGGCCTCGGAGCCAACTCAGGACGGTAGTAGGCTCCAGCTAAGCGACAACCACCCTTTCCGCACACCATCCTCCTCCACCACCCTGCAGCCCCCAGCCTGCTCTTGACCAAACATGGCAGTGTGGACTAACCTGTTAGGCTGCACATTCTTCATGTCTGAGTTTCCATCTGGTCTTTGCCCACTGGCAGGGAGAAAGCTTCACCCCTGAGTCGAGGCTAAAGGAACAATAGGTGACAGGGAAGTTTCATTATGATTACATCCCAGTGTCCTCCTTGCTCAGCATGCTGGTTACATGCATGTTTCCTACTAAGTTCTTTAGTTTTTATGTCTGACCACCTGGTGTTTCAAACGTGGCGCCTGCATCTTCTTTCACCTGCCACACTATCTGACGCTTGACTGGGGAGTTAACACTGGGCAAGCAGGGAATCTGGCAGAGCTGGGGGAGGGGGACTGGATGTGGCCCCCCTCTCCTGCTGTGGTAGACGGGCTGTCTCACCAGCTGCGGTGTGTACCCAGTGTACCGACTGTTCTTACTTTGGCTTCATGTTGTTTATCATTCTTTAAGGGAGGAGTCAACCCACTGAGTTTCCACAAACTTTGCTCATTCCAAGGAGTTAAATGTAACAACAGCACTGTTTTCAGAAGAGCACTGTAAATATCGTATTTCAATGACATCTGCTGGACACTCAGTGAAGCACCATATGTGTGATTTTCAAAGTGTATTTTGCCAACTATTATTTTATTTACTTTATTATGTTTTCAAGCACAGATTTCAAACTTGGGAGATGTACAAAAAGATTAAACACACATCTCTAATTATTAGGAAACTCAGCAAGTATAATATGGGTGATATAAACCAACAAATAAACCGTCATAAAATTTAACTTTTAAATCACTTAAAATTGTACAATTAAGGGGCATTAGTACATTCACAATGCTGTGAAACCATCACCACTATCTAGTTCTAGAAAATTTTCATCACCCCAGAAACTCTGTATCCATGATACAGTCGCTCTTCATTCCCGTTTCAGTAAATTAAGTCATTTATCATCTGTCACTTTAAAAAAGCCTGGGTTGAGGATCTTTTCCATAGGTCAGGCTGATACCCAGAAAAAAAAAATCATATCATCTTGCGAGAAATCCATGGAAATAACTGTATTGTCAATGTCACATATGTGAAGACTGGTTAAAAAAGTATGCTTTGATCCATCAAGGTCATGTGACTTTTCTGTACTTTTTTTTTTGGCCACATTGTGAGGCTTGCAGGATCTTTGTTCCCTGACCAGGGATTGAACCCAGGCCCCAGCGGTGAAAGCACCAAGCCCTAACCACTGGACCGCCAGGGAATCCCCTATACTGTTAAACTTCATTGTAAAAGTATAAATTGAATGTACTGCACTCAGAAGGATTTTATTATAAAGAAATCTGAGTTTACATCTTAGAAGTGATCATAGGAACAGAGCTGCCAAACAAAATAAATATCTATGTACAAGCAATGTTGAAAATTCAGAAACACAGACTATAAGGAGACCCACCATGATGATGAAAGTCAGAGAAGGAATGCTGTATACAAGAATACAGAGAATAAGGAAGTTGGGGAAAAGATCTTAAGAAATAAGCTGCATATATAATTTTAAAAAAAAGCTGTGGGCATGCTGCAAATCTCCACTTCAAATGAGCAGCCTTTCTCAAGTTGTGGGTAGTGACTACGAGGCACAGGCACTTGACCTACATTGAACACAGACTAGAAGAGAACAGCTTCCACAATAAAGGCAAAAGAAGGAAGTACCCATCTAATATTGCTTCTACCCCAAACCCAATGGAAACTATCATAAAGGAATTTAAACACACACACCAGGAAAACAGGCGCTGACAACAAAACTGTGGAAGCCAGAAAGCATATGGACAAGTGGCAAAGGAGTTAGTAGATTCAAGAAAGCTGAGTCTAGACCAGCTTTTCTAAACGCTGAGAAATCATGAGGTGCACAGTGACTTCTCCAAAGATTCAGGCACCGATACCACCAGATGCCTCAGTCATGAAGGAGAAGAGGGAGCTGAGTTAAGGAAGATGGGGTAAAAGGTGTTCCAAATACTAACGGAGGTAATTCCCTGGCGGTCCAGCAGTTAGGACTCGGTGCTCTCACTGCCGGGGCCTTAGGTTCGATCCCTGGTTGGGGAACTAAGATCCCGAAAGCCGCACGGCGTGGCCAAAAGAAAAAAGAAAAAGAAAGAAAACATGCAAATACAAATAGATCCCTAGACCCCTGCCCCCTCCAACCTGAAGTCCTTTCAACAGAAGTCACAATGCTTCTATGGAAAGAGTAAAACAGAGGGTCTCTAGACCGGGAGAGAGCACACACAGCTGAGCTCAGGTACAACGAGGAACAGCGATTAAGTGACCATATGCCTCTCCCCCCACCACACACCTCCTTCCCACTCAGCTCCCAGGTGCTGACATCAGACCTCTACCCTCAGTCAGGAGTCAGAGATTCTTTGCTAGGGAGGTAGACCAAGAGGAAAGGCCTTCAGACACTGACCCCAGGGGTTCTTCATATAACTGCCTACCCAGGTACCCTATAGAAAAGGAACCTCTGAGTTTACAAGACCCAGCCACTCGTGCAGAGCTTCCAATCAGCATTTCCATCCTTTCTCTTGTGATAAACACGGTTCACTGGGCATTTAAGGAAAGCCTCTAAGGTGAACAAATAGACCCAAATAAACAGATCAGAGCAACATGGAAGATACAGTGGATTCCGTGGATTCTTCAAAAACTTCAAAAAAATTTGAGAGGTAATATTCCACTCAAAACAAAAATGAATGTTAATCAGGGTCCGCATGCCACAGCTACTGAGCCCACGTGCTGCAACTACTGAAGCCCTCACGCCTAGAGCCCGTGCTCCGCAACAAGAAGCCGCCGCAATGAGAAGCCTGTGCACTGCAACAAAGAGTATCCCCCGCTCGCCACAACTAGAGAAAGCCCGCACGCAACGAAGACCCAACACAGCCAAAAAAAAAAAAAGACCATTAAGAAGGAACATTTATGTAAATCAACTATACTCCAATAAAATTTTTTAGGGCATCCCTGGTGGCGCAGTGGTTGAGAGTCCGCCTGCCGACGCAGCGGACACGGCTTCGTGCCCCGGTCTGGGAAGATCCCACATGCCGCGGAGCGGCTGGGCCCGTGAGCCATGGCCGCTGAGCCTGCGCGTCCGGAGCCTGTGCTCCGCAACGGGAGAGGCCACAACAGTGAGAGGCCCGTGTACCGAAAAAAAAAAAAATTTTTTTTTAAAAAGGGAAGGAACACTTAGAAAATCGAAGAAACTTGGATATTGAAATACATGATGTCAGGCAGGAAAGAAAATTCAATAGGAGTGAAAGGTAAAGTTGAAGAAACCTTCCAAAAAGCATTATAGAACAAAATAAGAGATGGAAAAATAGGAGAGAAAAGAAAAGAAAGTGGGTCAGTAGAGGAGGTCCAACATCCGAATAGTACGAGTTCCAGAAAAAGGAAGCGGGAAACACAGTGGTGAAGCAATTATCAATTAAGTAATTACATTTTTCCAGGACATAAGGTTTTGTTTGGAAAGGTTCAAGAGTGCCAAGAGTAGAGGATGAAAGCATAACAAGATACATCATTATGGACCACAGGGGAAAAATCAAAGTTCTAAGAGCTTCAAGAGAAAAAGAAAATTGTCACTTAAAATGGCTGCTAGACCAGAGCAATGCCTTTGAAATTCTGAATGATATCCAACTACATGCTGTTAAACTATCAATGATGGGAGAAGAGAATAAAGGCATTTTCAGACACTTAAGATCTGAATATTTTTATCTCTCACATTTATAGGGAAACTACTCAGGATGCATGCCACCAAAGGGGGAACAAATCAAAAAAGGGAATACACAGGGCACAGGACATCCAACCTAAGAGGCAAAGGGAAACTCCAGGATGGTGATATGTACCAGAAGAGGGCAATTAGACTGGGGCAGAAGCAAGGGCTTCACAGCTGTACTGACCTCAAAGTGAACAACTGGCCCAGTGAAAGCCAATGGAACCATCACCTTTATCAACAACAGTGGATGGCTGAGATCAAAGATGTATGCTCCTAACATGAACGACTCACAGAAGCTTCATAACTTTTTAAATCAGTTTCTTAGCAAGATCATTGCCTCCTAAAACTGAAAAGCAGGAATAAAAACCTGCCTGAATCAGAGGAATTCTATATACTCATACCTACCTATATATGCAGATACACAGGCACTGCTGACAGCAGAGGCCTTTAGGGCAGGCGGGTTGCTGGAAAAGAGATGAGACGGACTTTTTGCTATTCACGTTTTCATTCTTTGACTTGTGTACCACAAATACTTGTACAAGTACCACAAGTACTTGTTCAAAAATGAAAAAAATATATTCCCCAATTTAAAAAATGATGGAATGAAAAAAACCTGAGCATCATGCATAGCAAGGAAGTAGTTTTGTTTGTTAAATATATATTTAATATACACACACTGATATTAACTAAATGTTCACTATAAATGTGTTTAATGGGTTGTGACAGAAAATGTTTCCTATTGTGGGTTGCAAAGAAATCTGAAAGTGCTAAACCAAGTACCTCTGTAACTAAGAAAACTGTCTTTCCTACAATATTCACACTTGCTGGGTCCTGGGCACCACCATATCTAAGATGTTCATGCACCAGTGGGTGGACATGTGTATGGAACCAGAAAACATCCATCATTGTGTCAGTGTTCCAGGGGCAGCATCCACTCGTGTCTACTCTAGGCCTTCCTCTGTAATGAGTGTTTGGGAGAGCCTCTGGACAATTGAGAGTTTATGGCTTTCTAGGAGTATGGAAAACTATGAAAAACAAAATATTATTTTAAAACAAAAACATTATTAATAAAATAGGTCTATTCCAAGATTTCTTAATATTTTCTGTAACATTCCACTCAGAAGGCAGAAAACCACAAAGTTCTTCCCTAAGGAAAAGTGCAAATGGAATGTAATATTACATTACAAAAAACTCAATTATTTCATTCCCCGCCACATCACTTTTGCTGACGAACTGCTCATATAACATCCTAGGAGGTCTGCTGCCGTGATCTGGGAGCAATGAGCCTTCTCAGTGAGCACAGTGAACGTGCCATGTCTAGACCCATCCTGTGGGTGAGCTGAAAGGACAAGCTCTCAGCACCACACTCAGCCCACTGGAGAAATCATGCACACAACTATTTTCCTGTCAACATCCTCCAACTTAACAATTTTCAAATAGCTACAATTATAATTGAGGTCACATGGACACCGTACCTGGAAGAGCTATACACAAACATTCCCTGTCCACAAACATTCAGCTTCAGAGCGAACAGTCAAGGGCACAATCACATTTTTGAAAATTAAGAGTGAGAAGCGCAACAGGCACATGCACAATGGCAGAGGATCCTGTTCTTCACAGAATACTTGAAGGAGCCCTAGCTAAATATACCCCAACTACCGAACATCTTACACTAGTAGTTTCCTATACAAAAGTTAAAAAAAAACATCCTACCAAAAAACAACCCTAATCATTATTTGTTTTTTCCTTAATTAACCATTTTACTCTAAGTTTGGCTGGTGAAATCATGAGACTTTCTAGCCTAACGGTCTTGAGACATTTTTCTAAGTTGCAAGATGCCTCCCTATGGAGTTTTAATTACTAAGCTCAAAGCAAACTCTGAAATGGATACAGAAGTCTGTGAAACAATGACATAGTTCCCAAAATTTGAAAAACAGGAGACTTAAGGCAGACGGTGATACCAAAAAGAGCCAGTCAAGTATTAAAATGGCACTCTGGAAATGGTTCATAGCAAAACCTAATTTTTTACTAGTTTTCATCATATGGGTGAAACTATCCAGTCAGCAGACAACAGATGCGGGCAGCATGATTAGGCCACACCAAGGCAACTTCCAGGAAAGTGACTTCTGGGGCCATGTGGCTTGCACTCATCCACAGCAAGACAGACTGGTCCCTCAACCTCACTGTGTACCTGGGAAAAGACAGTAAAAGTACTTCCATAAGAGGTAAAGACTAACAGGAACCTATAAGCTCACCCTGGAAAGATGTGAAAATGTAACGGAAAAGGAGCACCATATGCTGATTTTAACAGCTTTTTTACTGGAGGAATTTATTGGTCATGTACACACCATAGGAAAATTATCCCCCCCATTCCAAAGGTAATGCAGAAAAATTAGATTCATAAGAGAAGTATACGTACAAAGTAGGCAAAAATATGGTACATGTTTTTGAAACAGAAAATATGAAAATAATTTCACTGTGAAATGCCTTGATTTGCGAGTTGGTACTTATATTAACCAGATCCAACTGCTCTAATAAATCTCTAGTATATATGTTTTAGAATAACTATTTTTTAAAAAATACCTATTTTTAAGCCAAAACATAAAATCTGTACTTGTGCACCCATGTATAAGTTATCCTCCTTGGTATCTTCATAGATCCAAGATGCTAAGAGATTAACAAAGTAATTTTAAAAAAAAATCTCAAGCCACAGATTAACAAATATACTTCCTCAAGTTTTCTGGGTTACCCTACTAAAAATAACTTATAATAATGTACTCTGGATTTTCAGATATAAATACCAGTCAATGGTTAGTTGGCCATTACATGACAGTATAATTATCCTTAGAACTAAGTCATAGTATATAGAATGCCTTAACTTTTCTTAGTTCAAACCCTGTAATTTGACCCTAAAATTCATAAGCATACCCTTTTCTGTGCTTTAAGCAGACACACTGACTTTGCAGTCTATACTTTGTAAGAGAGCAGGTAACTCTAGCACAGAAGAAACTATATAATGCGGCCTGGGGGATGACTTCAACGGCACCATTCCATTTTTATTTATCCAGACTGTTGCCTTCAGCCCTGCATTGAGGCCTCCTTGTATATCCGTTTCTAGTGTGTCACCAACCATCACACAGTCCCCAGGCTGTACTCCAAGGAGATCACAGGAGTAATAAAATATGGAAGGTGCCGGTTTCTCCTCTTTCTGCTCTCCACCTACAACAATAGCGTCAAAATAGGACTGACAGGCACAAGCCTTGATCTTCTCCCTCTGGGTCTGTTGTTCTCCATTTGTTAATAAAAGTAGGCGGACCTCCTTTCGAAGTTCAGTGAGCATGGCTTTGACATCTTCTGCTAGTGTCATATGCTGTAAACGTGTAGATTTCCACAGGAAATAACATTCTTCAGCTAATTTCCTATTGGCCGCACCACCTTTTGTTTCCTGGATTGCTTCTTCCCAGTGTGAAGTCCTGAGGTCAGTAATGCAGCTTTTGGAAGGATGAAAACATTCCTTGCTGAGCTTAACTTGAACTTTGTTACAGATGATTTCAGCCTCTTCTTTGTAATGGTATTTTGATTGTAAGAGCTTTATCACCTAAATAAAGGAAAATAACTCCATCAACATACTTCATGTCTTTAATACTTATCCTGTGAGCCTATAAACCCAGAGCACAGACAGATTCTAACTCCACTCCTCTGTCTTAAGGAAGCTCTATTACCACACCATTTCTGTTGGGAATTGGTCTTATTTTTAAAGAACACAAGAGTGAAGATTTCCCAACCTTTCTAGACAACTCATTCATATTTTTTTACCAATTTTTTCTAAGAAGATTCTTTATATATATATATATATATATATACACACATATCTAATAAAAATCCCTCATTTGTCAGTTTAAGTCTACCACCTTTCATTCCGGTCATGAAGACATGACAACTAAACTGTGCTTATATTTAGTAAAACGTAAAATTTCTAACAACTGATATGTAGACTCTTCCCAGAAATAACGCTAGTTCACCTAACCTTTCATCTTATCCATTTTACGTTCTGAAGGCCTAAATTAGGTCCTAAAGGGGACCTAATTCTGTACTTTTAAAAACAGGTATATGTAGCTCTAATGGAATCAGGCATGTTCTGTGACCTCAGCAGTTTAATGATGGTGCTTCTTCCAAACTTAGGATTCCAGATAAAAAACTTCAAGTAGTTCTGAGTCTCCCTCTTTGTCACACTGGTTCTGAATCCCTTATCATAATCTTTCTTATGTTCCCACAGCTCTTTATCTTGACTTTTTATGAGATTAGGTTCTTATCCCTTTGGCCTATCTTCTTACCAAGATGCTAATGTGGCAAAGCATTATGCCCAGTACTCACATATATTATTTCTAATCTTTCCTGCAACTCTGCAAGGGAATTTCCTTTCTGAGATGAGGGAATGGAAGTTTAGACCTGATAAATAACTTGCCCCAGCTGAGATTTAAGCCCATACTTGCCTAACTCCACAGGCCACATGCTTGCGTTTATACTATGTATTCGGCACTGGAGACTGGACTCTTTGTCCTCATGAACTTATCTGGTGGGGAAAATAACCACCACAAATGCTGGGTTGAGTGCCTTGACAGTCACACAAAAAACTGGAAATAAAATGTAAGGATCAACCCCAGGGTTGTTGGGTAAGGAGGGCAGAGGAAGGAACATTTAAACCAAGGCATTACCAAGCCCAAAGGTGGGGATGGGAGGAGGATAAAATCATTCTAGACAGAAGGAACAGCACAAAGACACAGTACTTGGAATTCTGTGAACTGGGAAAGGCAAGAAGCTGAGTTCAGCCACAATGGAAGGCAAGTGAGGGCGAGTGCTAGAGATGAGGCTGGGTAGGCTGTAGCTACCGAAATTCCCTTGGCACACTTTATGCCCATACATGCCAAAGGCTTCATACTGCAAGTGCTTGGGCTTCTCTGCCTGGGAGCTTTATCTCGCCATAGGGGCACCCATGCACATAGGCTGGAGCCAGAGTATAGCCCAAGGAGCAGGTCTCAACCAATAAGAAGCAGATATTGGTGGGTTGCCCCTTGGAAGGGACAAGTAAAGTATGTCTACATGTGTCTCCCAGAGTCCCCAACCGTTCACACAGTTCCCTGCTCATGAACACAGCCTGTATTAGATTCCTTCCCTTCCCTGTCTGACTCCACCACCCCCTACAGTGCTTCCTAGGGTCACCTTCCAAGTGAACTGCTTGCAGTTGAAGCCGCCTGTCCCAGGGACATCTGGGAAAGTCGATCATGCCAAGGCAATTTTGGATCTTTGAGGATGAGGGCAATGCACACAGCTGGGGCTAAAGATTTTCTGTTGTTGAAGTGAAGCAGTCAAAGTCAAGTTAAATTGTTACCCTAAACTCTATAGGGAATAAATGATCTGCTACTCACACCAGACACTCAATTCACCTACTGAAAAGGGGAAAGAGCTGAAGAGACACAGTCTTCCTCAAGCTATTTGTGTTAATCACAAAACATAATAGTTAAGAAAAGTCTTACTAGTCAGAGAAAAATAAACCAGCCCTAAGAATTTTAGGTGAAGGGAAAACTTTGAAATTTCTTGCTTTATAAAGTTAAAATTCAATGAACAAATCAAGCCTTTTCAATCTCCATAGTTATGTCACCATCTTTTCTAGCAATGTCAACTAAATTACTCCTGAGCTATGATTGAAGGTCACTATACAGTTTTAGCAACGCTACTGCTACACAGTAAAAGGACACAGGCCTCTAGGACTCCACAGTACTTGCGATTCAACAGGAACTGGCTCCGTTCATAAATGAAAGCTCCCAATAAAGATCCAGTTTCCTATAAACTGTAATTGGCAGTTTGTTAAGCACATTCTTGGGATCTGAAAAAGCAGATCAGCTCACCTTAAAGGGGAGATTCTTGTAGAGGTATATTGCTCCCAAGTTTCAAAACTGCCTCCCATTACATTCCCTGAATTAACTTTGCCATTTCGTCACACAGAAACTAATTACATATTCATTTGGAACAACAAGTGGCATTTTAATAATATTAACAGCTTTGGGAAAGATGTTTATCATTCACATATTAATATTAGTTCAAACAGAAATAATACCTAAGGTGAATTAGTCCACATTACTGGTGCAAGCTCTCCTAACACCTGCACTGAGAGAATGGGAGTCTAAATTTAATTGGGGATGGAGGGAAAAGACCTCTAATTCAGAGGTGTGATGACATTTTGCATAAGGGTAAGTCAGGCCTGAAAAGGATTCTGAGTAGAATGAGCCCACTAGGCACGTACAGGCCTGAAGAAGGGAAAGCTAAGATAGTGAGAGAGGGGAGATCAATTTCTAGACACAATATAAACTCAAATTCCATCTACTTCAAAACTCTATTTAAGGCTCTATCGCAACACATACAAAAAGGAAACTCTGTCCTACTTCCTATTTTCTGGACCCAGACTTAAATACCATTAGTACTAGTGTTCAGCTGTGATTTAAAAAGACTTTTTGAGGGCCAGTGTGGGAACCATGTAACACATATGATAAAGATATGAAGTGGCTGAATTCTAAATAAAACTATTTTTTAAAATACATGCTCACAAAACATGATGGCTGCATACAGACTAACAATTCAAGCAGCCCTCCTGTTATTCATTTATTTTTTTTGTGGTACGCGGGCCTCTCACTGTTGTGGTCTCTCCCGTTGCGGAGCACAGGCTCCGGACGCGCAAGCTCAGCAGCCATGGCTCACGGGCCCAGCCGCTCCACGGCATGCGGGATCTTCCCGGACCAGGGCACGAACCCGTGTCCCCTGCATCGGCAGGCGGACTCTCAACCACTGCGCCACCAGGGAAGCCCCCTCCTGTTATTTTTAGTTCAAGTCTTTGTTCAAACATCATCTACTCTATGTGGCCTAATCTGACCAACCTATTTTAAAAATGCAATTCTTTCTCCCCTCCACTTTTTCTGACACACTTATAAATAAAAGCACATTTATTATGTTCACTGTCATACCCATTAGAAAGCAAACTCAAAAATGCAGAAATCTTTTTTGCTTTGTTCTCTGAGAAACCCCAATTTTCTGGAGAAGCCTTCTTCTTGAGTAGTGACACTGAAAGAGGGTGGAAATAGCTTTCCCAGATGATTTAAAAATAAATTAAAGCTGATAGCCATATTTTGTAATAACTATAAATGGAAAGTAACCTTTAAAAATTGTATATATATAAAAAAAGAGGCTGAAAAAAGAAAAAAAATTAAAGTGATATATAGTCAGTATGACTCCTTTTCCTCAAGCCCAAGGCAATGGCTGGACCTTTTCACTGAATCATTCAGTGATTCAGAAAGCTGGCATGTTACTTTTGAATAGGCTAACATTTGTGGGTGTTGTATTCTTATGTGATAAAGCGATCCTAGATCCTCGTATAGTTAATTCTGCACATTTCGTAGGATATTTATAAAGCAAATGGTAAGAGAACCAAGTCTGGAGAATAGGACTTTTATCCATCCATTCAACATTCACCCTGTGTCAAACACAGGGTGATGAATAAGACAGTTTTTTCCCTCTTAAGAAGCTCACTATTTAGCTGTGGGCATGTGAGTTGGAATGTGGAGGATGAACTGGACATGGTAAGCCTGGCATCAAGACCATAGTAACAGTCTTGGTGAGAGACAAGTCCAGCTTTAACTAAGAAAAGGGCAGAGGGGATGTGCAGGAGAGGACAGACTTGGTGACAGAGTGGACGGTGGTATAATTCTGCAACACTGGACTGTATGTACTTCCCATGCATTACATTAAATCTAGCTGATAGGGTTTTTGAGAACTAATTTCACTATTCAAATATCACTATTTAAAGATTTGAGGCTTAGAGCAGTTAACTAACTTGTTCGGGTGCTTTCACCTAGGTATTGGGAGAGCTGTGATTCAATCTCAACTGTCTAATTTTAAACCTTAAACTCTTGGCCTATAGCAAGGATTGGAATAAAATAAGAACTTAATGACAACACACTGGACTTGGCCTGCCAAAACACACAAGTAAATATGTACAGTTTGCAGCCAGAGATACTGGAGACAATATAGCAGGGGATGGTGCCCCTGAGGTCAAGATCAAAGGCATGAAGGGACAGTCAACAGTGTATAATACTTCGGTAAAGTCATTAAGACAGACTTAAAATGTCCAGGATTCTGGCAATTTGGGAGGTGCCTATAGATGGTGAGTTTATTTCATTCTAGTGGCAAAAACAAAAAAAACACACTACAGTGGTTTGGGGAATACACAGGAAGTAGAAACATGGAGATAATGGTATAGATTTCTCTTGAAAAACATGGCTGTCAAGAGAGGTAATATCTTGTGGAGAAATAAGGGTCCAAGGGAAGCGTTCTTTTTAAAGTACTGGGTATTTTAAAAGATTCTGCATGAATTATTCACATTTGCTTGTTTTTTTTTTAAGCTCAAAAATTGACATAGGTTTGTTGCCCTTTTTTTTATTTTTTGAAATAATTGTATAAAATAATCGTTAACATTTTTCCAATGCATATTTTGGAGAATCATTCTGCTCAACTGTTATACACAGTATCTCAATTAATTCCCCAAAACAGTCTTTTAAAGTTGGCCCTAGTGTCGTATTGTAATACAGATGAGAAACTGAGGCACTGAGTTGAATTATTTGCCCGAGATCTCAGAGAAAATTGTGGAGCCAAGATTCAAACCCAAGAAATGTGCAAGCTGACTATTTATGATTAAACACTGATTATATTGCTTATGGAGTATCATAAGAGAGTGTAAAGACATCTTTATCAAACAAATAAAAATAGAGTATTGGAC